GCAAACCACTCCCAGTATTTTCGCCAAGAAAACCCCAGATGAAGTCATGAAGAGTCGACACGATTGAACAACGACAATTATTCAAAATGGGAAGTGACTGAACAGAGCGTGTCCTTTTACTTCAGCGATTCCTGCCCCCACACCTCTACCTCCCAACCCTTGATCCAATCCATCACTTTAGGGAAGACGAACTCAATGTTGATCCAAATTCAGTTCACTCTGGAGTGCTGGTCGTGTCAACTGCCACCAACCTTGTGGGGCAGGAGAAGGCGGCCAAGCTGCCCACCAGCCCCCTAGTTCCCTCTCCTGGCAAGCCTAGAGACAGGGCCTTCCACACAAAATGCTGCCATGCTGGCTTCCTTTTCTCTGGCCCCCCTCTGCTCCAAAGAGGTTACTGGGAAGAACCCAGATTACCTCACCCAGCCTCCAGGAGGCCCCAAGCCTGCGGCTCTGGACTGGGGAAACCAGGCACAAACCCTTTATGGTCATGACCCGCCATTTTGGCTGCCTCTTTACCATCGTTTCCCCAGATCTGGGAATGGAAAGTGGAGCTCCTAGTCATGAGAATGGAAAAGAAGGAAGGGGGCTAGTCAGTCCTGTCAAGAGGAGAAGAGAGAGAAGGCACCAGAAAGAGAGTTGACAACGTGTGTAAAGGATGAGACCTTTTATGTGCCAAGCACATAAAACCTCCTCCTTGCAGAGGAGAGGTTGCTAGGAGGGGAAAGAGAGAAGGCAGTGTGGTGCAACGGAAACACCACAGGATAGGGAGGTAGAGGAGACCTGGGTTCAAACCCCATCTCTGCTATTTACTTTGACTTAGAGGGAAGAAGAAAGGAAGGGAGGGAGAGAAGGAAGGGAGGAAGGGAGAGAAGGAAGGAGGGAAGAAGAGAGGAAGGACAGAGGGAGGGAAGAAAGGAAGGAAGGAAAGGGAAGGAAAGAGAAAGAAGAAAGGAAGGAAAAGAGGGAGGAAGGAAGAAGAAAGGAAGGAAGGAAAACAGAGGAAGGGAGGGAGGGAGGGAGAGAGGAAGGAAAGGAGGAAGGAAAGAAGGAAAAGAGGGAAAAGGAAGGGAGGGAGGGAGAGAATGAAGGAGGGAGAGATGAAGGAAGGAAGGAAGGAAGAGTTGTGAGTCACATGTGGCTTTGTGTTCCACACCTCTGCCTTAGACAGAACCAGTACTTATCTGGCTAATAGCTGCAGTTTCCAATTGAATCAGGAAATCCAGCTGCCTGCTAAGGCAGCCAAGCAGCTTTCATCCAGATTGCTCCACGCCTCATTAAAAGCAGCTCAAGCCAAACACAATTCAAAATAATCACTTTATTCTGGTTCTAAAGCCGTGTGAACGAATGAAGAAAGTAATGCAAGGTTCAGCTAAAAGAAGGGAAAACAAAACAACCCCCAAAGCCTCGGGTTCTTAGGTTTGGCTAGGAGGGGCCTTGGAGGGTATCTAATAGTCCAGTGACCTCATTTGACGGGTGAGAAGACTGAGGCCCACAGAGGCAGTGCAGCGCTGTCCAGAGCTGAATTCCAATCCTGGCTCTGCTTCTGTATCATCTACCTGTGTGAGAGTGGGGAAGTGCTCCATCGAGTTGGACCTCAGGTTTCCTCCAAAATGGAGGACTTCCAAGGTCCCTTCCAGCTGCCAATCTCTGATCCTATGAGGCAGCTAGGTGGACAGTGGGCTAAGTCTGGAGTCAGGGACACCTGAGTTGAAATCTGGCCTTAGATGCTTGCTAACTGTGTGACACTTCACCTGTGTTTGCCTCAGTTTCCTCATCTGTAAAATGAGGCACCTACCTCCCAGGCTTGTTGTGAGGCTCAAATGAGATGTTTTAAAGTCCTTAGCACAGTGCTTGGCACGTAATAGATACTTAATACATGCTTATTTCTTCACACCAAAAATAAAGTGGCTGAACAGAGATTCAGACTACAAATTCCATCTTCTGACACCCAAGGCAGTGTTCTTTTTTTCCCACTCCTTTCCTTCCTTCTTTTCTTTATTTCTTTCTTTATCTTCCTTCCCTCCTTTCTTTCTTTCCCTTCCTTGCTTCCTTTTTTTCTTTCTTCCTTCCTTCCTTCCTTTTTTAAATATCTGAAACTTTGCTGTGAAAACAGGGCAAGCCTGTGCTAAGAAAACCAAGCAACCAAGTAAACTCTCCTGGGAGTTTCCTGATCCCCAGCCAGCTCTCAAAAGAGCTTGGCCCCACTCTTAGGAGCAGGAGGGTGCCCACTTTGAAGGGCTGGGGCAGGCCTGGGTGCCACCAAGTACTTTTTTTTTACTTAAAAAAACTTTGTACCCTGTCCAAAAGCAGAGACCTTGGGAAATGCCCTTTTTCCATTTCTGTTTGACGTTTAAGCCCCAGATCTTAAATTTAGGTTGAATTTTGCGTTGTAGTTTGGCAGAATACCACGTGAGGAAAGTCTGTTTCCTCCCTTCTTCCTCTACTCCCCAAATTGAACTGCTTTGCCTGTGTCTTTTAGAATGGAGAATTAGCATCACAATGCCACATGCTGAATATTTTTTGTTTCAATTTTTAATTTTACATTACCTTCATTTCTGAAATGTTTCATCCTCATCCCTATCCTGTACAAAGAAATCCACTGGGCTGGATACTTCTATCATATAGGTTTCTCTCCTCTCCCTACACTCACACGCCACCACCCTCTCCCCCAAAAAGGAAACGTTCAACAGAAGGATGATTCCTCCAGAGACAAGCCTTCCGAGATGTTCCACTGGGGCCATGGTGAGGAAGGAAGGTTCATGGGAAAGGGTCTACTTGTCTGAACTTTTGTCTTCCTCTTCTCATCTTCAGATGGGGAAACTGAGCCTTAAGTGACTTACTCAGTGCTTACATATATATATGTATGTATGTGTGTATATACACACACAGAGACTCACAAGCTAACTATATATAAATATACTATATATAAATATTTGTATATGTGTGTATATGTATATAAATGTGGAGGAAGAAGGGAGGAAACTGCTCTATTGCAAAAGCTTTCTTACTGAAATTCAAGAACCTTTGAACCCCAGAACATCTTTTCCCATGAACTTATAACCTTCATGATGTGCTTGGAAAGTGAGACGCCAAGTTCTGTGGCCAGCAAGCCCCACCAAAGTCAGTCAGTCAGTCGATGATATTGAACTCTGAAGTGCCCATGCTAAGTGGGCCTGTAACGTCAGAAAGCTAGAAGAAACGCAATGAGCGCTGCTTCTCCTTTCGGGGAGCACAGCGGATAGAATGCTGGGCCTGCAATCAGGAAGACTAAAGTTCAAATCCAGCCTCCAACACTTACTAGCTGTGTGACCCTGGGTGAGTCCCTTCACTTCTGTCTGCCTCAGTTTCCCCACCTCTAAAATGGAGATGTAATAGTACCTTCTTCACAGAATGTGATGAGGATCTAATGAGATAATAATTGTAAAGTGCTTCACACAGTGCCTGAAACATAGTAGGAGCTTAATAAATGCTTCACCCTTCCCTCTCAGATTACTTATACCTGAAGATAATGTAAATGTTCTAGCTAGGCCTAGAATTTGTCCTCACTTATTCTGCAAGGGTCGCTTTAAGCGTGTGTGTGTGTGTGTGTGTGTGTGTGTGTGTGTGTGTGTATGTGTGTAAGTAAAAAGAGAGAGAGACAGCAAGGCAATCGGGGATAAGTGACTTGCCCAGGGTCACACAGCTAGTAAACATATGTATACATACATATATATACATTTATGTATAAATAGCTAGAGGATTTTTCATTTAGTTCAGTTCCACATGCATTCAGTAAGGGCCTACTTTGTGTCTCCCGAGGTCATTTTGCTTCTCCGGGGTTGGAGTGTTTCGAGGATGGATCTTAAGCCCTGGACGTACACCACAGAGTCCTGGGTTACTTTGTTCAGAGGAGGCATCGAGCAAGCCTTCCTAAGAGAAGTGGACTTTCAGACAGCAGGGTGAAGGAGTTGGACTTGGAATCCGGGTGAGCCGTGCCAATTCTATGAACCCCTGCCAGGGGCCAAGGCCTGCTGCGGTTGACCCTGAGCTAACCTCTCAGTGCTCCAGGCACCTCTTCCAGACTCTAAATTGCAGTGAGTCAATTAAGCGTATTGGTAAAGGAAACTCCCGCATCAGGAATTCCCCATACTAACAATGAAATAACAGATCTGGTCCCTTCTACCGAAAGAAGTTGGAATAGACTTGAAATCCACATGCCCCTTGACTTGGAGATCCCCACGGCTGCGTGGTCTACCTCTAAAGGCCCTTCTAGTTGTGTCTCACTAGGCCTGTGCTCTGGACTCTCACTGGGTTAAGCAGGTTATCTAAGAAGAATGGGCAATCCAGAATCACACCAAAAAATGCTTCCTTTGTGCCCTGAGGCACTGTGCTGGGCCTGGGGAAACAAGGACAAAGAACGGAGTCCCACTCCAAAGGAGTTTCCATCCCAATGGAGAAGACAACAAGGACATATGAAAACGTGTATAGTGTGAATATAAGCTTGATAAATACAGTTATATACAAAGTACTTAAACTGAAGGTACTATGAGAAGGACACTCATGGATGGGGAACCAGGAAAGGCTTCATGCACAAAATGGTGTCTGGGCCTCATCTTAAAGAAAGAGAAGGACTTAAAGGAAGACTGGCTGACCTTGGAATCAAGAAGATCTGGGTTCAAATCCAGTTTCAGACATTTACTAGCCATAATACTCTGGGCAGGCCACTTCATCGCTCTGGGCCTTGGTTTCCCCATCTGTAAAATGGGAGAAATAATACCTATAGCACCTAAATCACAAGGGATATCATGAGACAGTGTGCAGAGAGCTAGAGAAATGCAAATTGATGTTATCATTAACATTTACCATCATGAGTGTCTCATTTCCTGGACTATCCTACCAGATGGTTGATTGGCTTGGGGGAAATCCCAAAGCCAAACCTCAGCTTCTCTCCTCAGCACTCCCCACTGTCCCTATGCACTGCTCCCTGGAGACTAACCCTGTCTCTCTGCTTGTCCTACCAGATCCTGAAGCTAAGGAGAAGGATGTCACCAGGCGCTTTTCCCTTGCCTCCTCCCTTGGCACCACAGCTCCCACCCCCACTGGCCTCAGCAAAGGTACTGGATGCCCCCTTCTCTCCTCATCCTGCCACCTATATTCCCCAGCACAGTGTCTCCGTGGCAGGGCTGCTAAGCTGGTGGTGACAGCTTGCAGATTAATGGATGGATGGATGGATGGATGGATGGATGGATGGATGGATGGATGGAT